AGAGGCGGTAGGTTATTTCTAGCTGACATTACGACAGCCCTGCGTCAGTGCACCGCAGGTGAATGCCACCAAAGCAGGAGCCTAGTCACTCAGCAGTCACCAAAAAACAGCACAGACACTCGGCGCCAAAACGGCCCCGCACCGAGCCTGCGGTCCGCGCGACCCGGCCTGTCCCGAGCCGGCCGGTCAGTGCGGGTCATAAGGGGTCAGGCATCGGCCGGCCGGCCAAGCGTCCGGCGGCGGGCGAGCCGCGGCCACACGCACGCCACCGCACACGGGCGCCAGCCGCCGGCTCCAGGCTCCACCTTGAAAGGGGAAGAGGGCGCGCGCGTCGGCGACGGGCGGCAGCGGCCGGCGCGCGATGTAGCCGCCACCGGGAGCGTCGGTGGCGCCCTCTGGTGGCGGCGACCCGTCTGTCGGAAGCCGGCGCCGTGAACCGCCGCCCTCTGCCGGCGAAGACGTGGGCTGTCCGGCGCCCCTCCCCTGCGCCCGGTCTCCAGCCGCCGAGCAGCTGCCCACGGCGGCCCGAGCGGCCCACCGGCCCATCGGAGACTGGCCCGGCCCCGTCACCCGCCTCCCACCCAGCGGATCACCGCCAGCCGCGGCCGGCCTCACCGCGACAGCCTGACCCGTTCCCTGCGGCAGGGCGGCCAGCATCAGGCTCTCCTCCCGAGCCTCCGAGCACCGAGGCACCGCCCGCCGACACCGCCCAGCCCTCCCGGCCGACTCACCCTCGAACGGGTAGAGGGCGGTGGCGGGGGCCAGCACGGGCAGCGGCTCGTCGAAGCCGGGCTCGGCGTCCGCGTCGACGTCCATGGGGTCGCGGCCGTCCGTCTGGTTGCGTTCCTCGCCTTCCGAGTCCGAGCCCGGCAGCGATGTGTGCGACGTGCCCAGACCCGACTCCGGACTGTTGGACGAGCTGGCAGGAGGTGGGTCGGGGGTTAAACCAGGTCACTGGGGGAGTGCTCAGACCCGACTCCGACTGTTGGACGAGCTGGCGGGAGGTGGGGCGGGGTCAAACCAGGTCACTGGAGGGAGTGCCCAGGCCCGACTTCGGACTGTCGGACGAGCTGGCGGGAGGTGGGGCGGGGGTCAAACCAGGTCACTGGGACGCGAAACCCAGGTCGACCTTGGTGTAACATCACCACGGAACATTCACACAGGGCTGATACTAGCTAGCAGGCATCCAGGCCAGGTAGGCGACACACTTGGAAGTCTAAGACTGCCTACCCTCTTTGAAGTACAGCTGAAAAACACCATACACAGCTAACACTGTTCATGGTAACTAAAACAATCATGTTGAGGTTGCGAAGGCGAGCTGTACGCCACGGCCAGCAGGGTGCAAAACCACGCGAAAAACATGAGGATAAAACATTTACATGTTAGCGTTATGTGTGTTATCGAACAGTCAAGTGTGAACGGCCTCACTGTGGCCGCAACACACCGACACTTCTACTCAGTTTCGTTCTACTCATTCCATGTGGATCAAAAGCCCAATGATGACCACCAGTACTTAGCAACGAGCTTCTCACCACACGAACGCTTACTGACTCCTCGCCGCAGATACAACACACCCCTCCGTAAACTTAGACCCTCCTCGCTGAGCCCTTTCCATAGAGCACTAGCGAAGTCAGACCCCGCTTCTGCCGCTGCAGTCGAAGCCGGCGCACCACTCACATGTGACTAGGCAGAGTGGCGGCGTGCACCGTCTGGCGGCCGGCGGCGGCGCTGGAGGAGGAGCCCCGCGGCGCGGCGGCCGGCGGCGCCGCGCCGGCCGGCTGGTTCATCGAGGAGTCGCTGGCCGACCGGCTCAGGTTGCTCTCCGGCTCGCTCAGGCTCGATCGCTGCCCGTTCGTGTCCAGCAGGCTGCCGGCGCGGCTCGGGTCAGTCGCGGCGGCAGGGGCGCGACGGCAGCGCGGCTCGGCCGGTCGCGCCTCGGAGCTGGCGACGTGCGGCTCCAAAACCGCAGCAAAACAGCGGGCGTGGGCGGCCGGGGAGTCGTTGTGGGGGCGTGACGATGATTTCAAGACGTGGCAACATCGCTGATAGTCCGAACTTTACCGGGCACCACTTGTGGTTTCACACAGCACCAATACTCAAGAAAACAAATCAGCTAGTTCGTTCAAACCCAGGTCTGACGCGGCTGGCGCGATCGCCAACCGCTGCCATTCCACGGACACTCAGCAGCCACAGATGACATCAGGCCGGACATTGCCGGAAGCCCTTGCGTCACTCCAACGAGTACAGCGCCGGCGGCGCTTCTGGGCATGCCAGTCACGGCCTGTCGCCACCCGCCAAGCAACACACATCACACGGCCCCGAGCCCGCCGCGGTCAGTGCCACCCTCGCGTCCGGCGGGCGGGGACGGCACACTCTCTCGCGTGCACCGCCGTCCGAGGAGCCCCGGCGGCCGCCAGCTTACCCCTGGTACTTCTGCAGCTCGCATCTGAGCTTCTCCAGCCGCTGGGTGTTCTCCCGCAGCTGAGATTCGATCGTCATCGGGTCGCCGAGCGCCGGGTTACCCTCGTACACGCCCTTCATCTTCATCAGACCGTCCCTGTAACACATGGCAGGCGGGTTACCATCGTACACGCCCTTCATCTTCATCAGACCGTCCCTGTAACACATGGCAGGCGGGTTACCCTCGTACACGCCCTTCATCTTCATCAGACCGTCCCTGTAACACATGGCCGGTGGGTTACCCTCGTACACGCCCTTCATCTTCATCAGACCGTCCTGTAACACATGGCCGGCGGTTACCCTCGTACACGCCCTTCATCTTCATCAGACCGTCCCTGTAACACATGGCAGGCGGGTTACCCTCGTACACGCCCTTCATCTTCATCACACCGTCCCTGTAACACACGGCAGGCGGGTTACCCTCGTACACGCCCTTCATCTTCATCAGACCGTCCCTGTAACACATGGCCGGCGGGTTACCCTCGTACACGCCCTTCATCTTCATCAGACCGTCCCTGTAACACATGACAGCCGGGCTACCCTCGTACACGCCCTTCATCTTCATCAGACCGTCCCTGTAACACATGGCAGGCGGGTTACCATCGTACACGCCCTTCATCTTCATCAGACCGTCCCTGTAACACATGGCCGGTGGGTTACCCTCGTACACGCCCTTCATCTTCATCAGACCGTCCCTGTAACACATGGCCGGTGGGTTACCCTCGTACACGCCCTTCACCTTCATCAGACCGTCCTTGTAACACGCAACGCCAGATTACGTTCGTACACTCCATCCGCTTTCACCAACACGGTTCTGTTAGTCCCATCCCGCATCTCCGTCCTTCTGCCAGGGATTCGCGACCTCCTGCGTCTCCCGCTCCAAAACTATCCGTCAACATTATACCAGACAGCAAAACATGCTTCTAATACGCTGAAGGCCATTCGCCAAGTGAGAAATGACGGCTGCTACTTCAGCATACCCACAGCTTCCAAAGCTGACAAACCTCATGCCAGAATTGCTCGCTCGCGGGTCCACAATTCAGAATCACGCTCGTCACTGTTTCCTGGGAAGGTCACCACAGTTTTCGCATTCCTTTCCGAATACCCCCGGGAAACACTCAGGGTTTCCGGCAATGGTTTCTGAGCCAGCCACGGCCGTGCAGCATCGTACTTTTCATACCTATCCTTTTCAACACACATCCTTCAATTTCAGGATCATTCTGCGGCCAGGGCGTGATTAAGGACGACACGTCGTACAGATTCTCCTATGTCATGGCGTACCCGATGTCATGGTCACATGCGTGCAAATGAGTACAGATATTGCGCATGGACAGGAGCTCAACTGGCTTGAGCAATGTTTACATGCCATGCTTGACGACGCATATGACTAACATCACGGTGACAGGGCAGCCAATCTGGGGAGGGGAGACAGCAGGCGGTGACACTTCCGGTTTCATAGCAAAAAGCCAGGACAGCTGTAGACATAGATGGTATTCTATCAACTATCTGTCGGCTCGAGAAGTAGTTCGTGGATTTAAAAAAAAAAACACGTGAAAACATTACTTTAAGATGCAATTTACGAAACTTTCTAGCATTCGTTTTCCTTCATTTCAAACACCACACATCGTAAAGATGCCTTCGTATAGGTATTACTGAAGTTCCTTGCATCACAATCTGTGAAATGTCTCTCGGGCCTGATCAGACAAATGAGGCTCTTCTTTCTGCTCGCCTGCCCCCCCCCCCCCCCATGTTTGTTTCTGCTCCCTGACGCCATCTTTGAGGACATTCCTGGCTTCGAAACTGCATACATGCGGTCAAGACCGAACAGGTACAGACCACCAGACACCGCACAGAAACAGGACAAAATAAAAAAACTGGCCGGCGACACCAGGAAAACCGAAAGAAATGGTGAGCCCTCCGAGCGTCCACAAGTGACTGAGCTCACCCCAGTCCCAGAACACAACGCCGCCACTGCCAACACTAACACTGCCAAGACACCCGGTCATCTCTGAAGTTCCCGGTAACACGGGGATGCGTGAACAACTCTCCCGGTACCGCTCGACGGTCAAAACCTGCCGCCAACGTCGGTAACACGGGCAGTGCCCGCCGGGCCTAGCGCGTCGCACATCCTACCGCCACACAGGGCGTGGAAACCGGCACCGGAGAGGGGAACTCACCGAGTGGCCGTCTCCTGGTTGATTTTGGACGTGACATCGGCGATCTTCTGCCGGATCCGCTTGCGCCGCTGGTTGGGCGGCAGGCTGTCCAGGTCCTCCTTCACAAACGACTCGAACGACACGTTCGGCGAGGAGTTCTGTCGAGCGCGGCGCGACGCGTCAGCGCTCGTGACTCATCGCAGAGCACAGTGTCCATACACCCGGACACCAGGGCAGCTGCGGGCTCGGGGAAATATCGCCCGCGACGCGCTTAATGTTCCAAGCCAAACAAAACACTTGACCTTCAAATTAACAACGAATCCGCCAAATAAATTTACTTCCGTTTCCCCAACAACACTGCGGAACAGCCCTCACTACATCAGCAAGATCAGCACGACCCCCTCGACGTCATCCACGCTGGGTCGGCGCCAGGCCCTGGCCGGCGGAACAACGCACACAGCGGCGGCTCGGCGCCGTGCAGTGCGGTGCAGTGCGGTGCAGCTGGCGGTGGCGTCACAAACAAGGCCGCGTGCTAAGCCGACGGCGACGGGCCAACGCCGGCAGCGGGCGGGCGGCGGGGTCGGCGGGGCGGTGCAGACAGACGTCACACGGCCGGCAGCCGCGGCCGACGGGGCCCGGGCTCAGCCCGTCGGCGTCGACGGGGCTCGGTGGCGAGCGGCAGCCGCCGGCCGGACCGGGCACCGCAGCGGGCAGGGGTCGGCGCGAACCAGACGAGCGTGCAGCGAACACCGCCACCGGCAGCCGCCCAGCGGCGCAGCAAGCAAGCAGGCCAGCCAGCTAGCGGGCCCCGGCCCCGTGCAGTACACCACCCCTCCGGATCACGGGCTGTCTCAGTCACGGTACCGAGAACTGGCCACTACTGGTGATATGGTGGCGAGAAATAGTGTGCCATGCGATAGGGGAAAGTGATAGCCTAGATAATCTGTCGTACGATTTTTTTTAGAAGCAAAGTGATGCTTCAAAGGATAATCAGAGGCAATGTGTTCTTCTCCATAGACATCGGGCAACAATAGCACGAATAGAAGCTATTTGCTGAGCCCTAGCAAAACAAAACTTCACGTCGTGATGTAACGCTATCTTCCCATCACGAAACGCCATGCTCACCGCCATGTAGCATACTTAATCCACCGTTTTAAGCCGCCGACGCACGTGACGTTCCCCTCCCACGCCAGGAAGAGCCCCCTTGCCGTCGCGTCACCTAACCTGCCGACCCGTCTCGATCGGAGCGCCCGCTGCGCACCGGCGTCGGCGGACCCGACACGGCCGCCCGGCGACAGGTGGCCGGCGGGACGCGCTGAAGCCGTACGCGGCGGCGGCACGAGGTGGCCGCCGGGTGCCGCGTCGGTCTGTCTGCCCGCGGCCCCACTGACCGAGAGCCCGGACCGTGCGGCCCGCCCCCACGCCGCTCGCTCGCACCGACACGTGACGGCGCGCAGGGCGCAGCTGGCTGACCGCGACTCCCGGCCACCGACACCGCCTGCCACGGAGCGAGAGCCCGCGCTACTGCGCTGACTGCTGCTGCTTCTGACTGGCGGTGAGCGGCACTGGCTGCGCGGGGTCCGCCCGTCTACAGGCAGCGGACACCGGACGGGCTGTGGGCGGGGTGGAGACGCGGACGGCAGCTGTCCACTCCTGGCCGGTGACCAACTATTTCAGTACATTTGTTTGTGCTTTCAGGTTTGTTATATTTGTTTGTGCTTTTAGGCCCGAGAACCTGATTTCAAAAATTTGTTTGTGCTTTTAGGTTTGATATTTCAACAATTTGTTTGTGCTTTTAGGTTTGAGATCTTAACGATTTTGTTGCAACAGCAACGCTCAAGAATGCCCTTCCGGGTTGATATCAGCAGTACCTTGCTTATCTCCAAAACAAGAGCATGGCTGCAAACGTGCCACCGACAGTACAGCGAACCATTTCCGCAGCTGGTCGGATGTGGTATGTGCTGTGTCTGTGAACAACAAACAAGAGCTGGCAACAAGAAACACCGACCCCAACTGGTGCGGCAGTGAAGTGTCCGGCATTGCCAGCGATAAATGCCGTTTGTCAGCCAGACGCGAGGCCAGCCCGCCCATACGCCGCGCCTGCGATAACACCCACCGGCCTACTTTTTGTGCGTGCGTTAGTTTGCGAGGCCCCCATGCTTGCTCACCTTACGCACGGGGCCAGGGTCCCCCCCGGACGCAGCGGGGCCAGTAGTTAGTAAAGTGAGCTCATTAGCGCCTCACGAAACCCGATTCCCACCGGCGAAGCAAGTTAGCGACGAAGCACGAACAGACCAGCCACCGTCCACACCGCGCGCACACGCGTTAGTGGTTACTTACGTCGACCGCGTACCGTGAATTAGAGCCAGCAGAGCCGGGACCGGTCGGGGAGGGCGGGCGAGGTACCAGAGAGACAGAGAGAGAGAGCGGGGGGCAAAGAGACGAAGTCAGCGCCGGCGGCTATGTACACCAGTACGAGGCAGCGGGCGCGCGCGCGCGCGCGACTCGGCCCGACCAGCCAGCGCGGCGCAACCAATCAAAACAACGGGCCATGCTGACTAGTGAAGGTGTGCCGCTTACGAACGCAATCCGTGACAGCACACTCTGCGGACACGGCAGACAGCGGGGATTACACGGCGGGCGCGCACCGCCCGCCGACACAAACGGCGCCGTTACGGTACGCGACACGTCTGCACCGCCAACGCGAGACTGAGCGTCCGCCTTGAAACTGTGAGCCGAGCCGCGGAGGAGGCCGAGGCCGAGAAGGGGGGAGGGGGTGGCCAAGGGGGGGGGGCCGTAGCCCAGGCCGGGAGGATGGCCGAGGCCGAGGGGGTGGCCGAGGCCACGGAGGGGGGATGGCCGGGGGCGAGGGAGTGACCCAGTCCGTGGGGGATGGCCGAGGGCGGGGGACGGCCCAGGCCGAGAAGGTGGCCCAGACCGAGGGGTGGCCCGGGTCGAGGGGGCGGTCGAGGGGGTGGCGAGACCGAGGGGAGTGGCCCAGGCCGAGGGAGTAGCAGGCGTGGCAAGCCCACCTTGCTGCCGCTGAAGATGCCGAAGAGGCCGCCGCGCTTCTTGAACTTGGCGGCGGACAGCGTGCCCTTGATGGTGAGGCCGCGCGGCGAGTCGGTGATGGCGGGCGACGAGATCTGATGGCCCGAGGTGGACACGTCGCCGTTGCGCACCGACGACAGGTCCTCGAACGGGATCGAGTCGGGGGGCTCGAAGCCCGACTTGTACCGCTCGACGACCAGCTGCGAGTCCTGCGGCGCACGGACGAACGCTGCCCTGTCACCGGCTGGCCGCACCAGCGCCGCCCCGCACCGCCACCTCCAACAGCCGCCTCTCACTTCGGCGGGATACAATCCAAGGCAACGACCATCTACCGTATGTCACACACGACGGGAACTGAGAGGATAGCATCTGCATCATCTGTTCGGGACAAATCTTCACCATCATACACTGTTCGGGATAAGCCTTCCCTGCCACGTGCTCTTTGAGACAAACCTTCCCTACCATGTGCTGCTCAGGATAGGCCTTCCCATCATACACTGTTTGGGACAAATTTGCCCTACCATGTACTGTTGGGGACAAACTTGCTCTATCAAGTCCTGTTGGTGACATGCCTTCCCTTTCATGTAAACAGCGTGCCACCCCGCATATCTCCGCGTGCAGGGGCACTATGACCCGATAACGTCACTCGCGCCTGATACTGGCGCCCGGTGCACCGATTATCGGAGACCTGATCGCGTCAAACGACACCCGGCGGGCGGCTCCGGCCGCCCGGGCAGCAGCAGCAGCAGCAGCAGCAGCAGCAGCAGCAGCAGCCCGTCCCGTCCCGTCCCGCTCCGCAGCCTACCTTCTCGGGGTCGATGGTATCCGCGGCCCGCACGATGCCGTCCAGACACGTGTGGATGATGGGGAAGACGTGCCGCTCGATCTCGACGGCGCGCCGGAGGTGCGCCTGCAGGCAGCGCGCGCGCCGCTCGTCCAGCCGCTGCAGGTCGTCGTAGATGGCCGGCATGAGGCGGCCGTAGTGCTGCTCCTGCGGGCGCGTCGGCCAGCAGCGGTCAGCGGGCGGCGGGCAGGGGTTGGGGCGGGGGTACGGCGGGTCACTGGCCGGCGTGGCGGCCGGCTGACTCGTCAGGGCACCGGCCACTGGGCCGTCCGACGCGATTGATAGGGCTCCCGTCCAGCCAACGAGTGGAGCGTGCGGCCAGTGGCGACAGCCGCCGCCGCCGGCGATCCGTGGCCACCCGACCGCCGCGGGGGGTATTACGGCAATTCTAGGCCATTAACGCGTCACGGACACTCGGCCGGCGGCATCAATACAACGTCACGCCCGTAACAGATATGGACCGACTAGACTGCGTCGGACCGGCGGAAAAGCTCCGCGAGAAGTATCACGTGGAACACATGGCTGGATTGAACACAAAAACGCTCACAAAAACAGCGGACTGTTGACAGCCATGACCGTGCAGGACCTGGTATCTATCTGGCACCAATAGCCGGTTCTAACACGAGCCCCGGCGCCGGACCGACCAGACGGGCCCGGGCCGGCGCCGGCGTGTGCTGTCGTCTGGTGCCAGACGTACGGCCGCGCGTGACAGCCTGTGATGTGGGCGTGGCGCGCGCGGCGAGCGGTGGCACGGAGGGCTCACCCACACACCAGCTGTCCGCCGGCTATGGTTGACGCCGAGAATAGAGCCAAGTCCGTGCGGGTTGTGCAGGTCAAGTGTTGGGAAAGGGTCTAGGGTGCAAGTGGTGTTTTGTGAGGCGCATCACTGGCTGCAGTTACCATGCACCAGCAGCAATCGCGTTGCTCGCAGACTCGCCAGTTTGTCATGTCCCATGACACGTGCTCAGTGGCGTGGTCGTGCCGTGTGGAGCAGCCAACAAGGGCGCTTAGGCTTAAAACAGATCGGCGCCGGCTGGAGCCGCCGGGCGCGCGTCCGGGAGGCGCCACGTCAGCAGCACCTGCAGGTCGTTGGTCTTCTGCAACTGGTTGGCGTATTCGTTCTTATTGTCTTCGCACTGCTGCTCCCGCAGACTGGAGTTCATCTTCTGCTTCTCCACCTCGGCCCGGCTCAAGTTGAAGTCGGCGTCCGGCCTTATGGAAGTTTTCGAGCGCCTGAGACAGAGCAGCTGCATCAGCGCCTGGCACCAAAGCAGGGCCAGGGAAAAATAGACAGCGGCAGACAGATACTATCTGCTAAGTCGGGAGACAAAGCAGTTTTTAAGGTCTTTTTCCATTCAACACCGCCTTAGGACAACGTAAAAATCATGGAGAGCTAGAGAGACCATGTCACCCACGTCCAGGCCCCCAGCCCGACTGGCGGAACCCTTGCAAGCAGGCCTTCAGAGCACGGATTTCTGGGAGCAAACTTTCTTAACACTGGCTTTGTGCGAACAGGCCTTCTCCACGCAATGTTTCTGGGAGCAGGGCAAGCGTTGTGCAGGCGGACATTCTAAACGTATGCCTAGCCAGAGTAGACGTTACGAAAGTGGACCTATCGAACGCAGTCCTTCCTAAACGCACGGCTCGCAGAACAAGACCTGAAGGTATGCCTTCCGGACGTAGACCTTGGAATTTTAAGTGCCGTTCTTAAAAAAAGCTTTCTGCAACAAGACCTGAAATAAGGTTTTCTGAGCGTACATGTCCTTGTAATCTCAGCGTATACTTTTTAAAAGAGATGTTACGAATAGGACGGCAACCCGGATTTTGAGTTGGGGGGAGGGGCACAATTTTCCAGGAGGCCTCCGATATGAAATAATAGAGCCTCTTCACAAGGGAACCCCTGAACAGTGTCGTTCTCTAGCGGGGGTGGGGGTAGGAGCAGGGATACGTGGCCCCGCTATCATATTGCTTAAGACCTTCATATCCGTATGAATAAATATCGACACTCAAAAACCCCAGAATAGATGCCTACTGATCACTACAGCAGCCTTCCCGATTCAGCGAAGGATATCTTAATCCCAACACAGGGCCTCCTGACCTATTACATGGGCCAGCTAATCCATAAACCGGCTTCCAGTTCCAGCGAACGGACCTCTCGCTGCAGAAAACGGTCTTCTAAGCTCGACCTAGTAGCCCCTAGCCTAGTCATGGAGGCCTTCACGATATAAACACGACAACATATGTGTAGCTACCGGGCATTCAGCGCGGGCAGAAGGGGCCTCAATTTCTTTTTTGAGGAGGTAAAAACACGCACTCGCCCCCTGCCTGTCGGTAGAAGAGGGGGAGGGGGGGGGGGGGACAGCCACCCTCTCTGTCCCCTTCCTCCCTCCCCCTATGCTACGCCGCTCCCGTCCACAACACGTCACCGCACCCGCCACGTCGCGCAGCAACGGCTGCCGAGCAGCCGGCAGACCGGCGCCAGTTCAAATCCGGGTGATCTCCATAGCGGGAGCGCTCGGCCGGCGCCCGGTGACTCGCCCGTTCATGGTTCATTCATCGGCTGCCGGCGGCGGCGGCCGGACGGGCCGACGCTGAGTCAGTGGCCGCAGTCTCGCCCTCCCCCTGCCCCCGGCCGCCGGTCACATGCGCCAGCGACGGGCCGCACGTGGCACCGACGGCCCGCCGGCGCGCCGCGAGGGGGAGGGGCGACGCCGGAAGCTGGCTCACTTCCGGCGGATGGTTCGGGGCGGGGTCTCACCGGGCCGAGACGGCAGCCTGCCCGGGCCGAGACAGCAGCGTGCCGGCCCCTCCCACACTTTCTCCCGCAGCGTCCGTCCGCGGACGCGCCGCAACCTTCAGGCGTTGCCGCCGGGCACAGCGCGCCCACAGCGCCGAAATAGCCGGCCAGCCGTAAACATTTACCTTTTCGGCCTCGCGGGCCGACTTCTCGTAGTTCCGCTTGGCCTTATCCAGCTGCAGCCGCTGGTTGTGGAGCTGCGCCTGCAGACGGGACGCCTCGTGGAGCAGCTGCCGGGGCGGGGGGCGGGGGTTAGACGCGGTGACGGCCGCCGAGAGCGGTCAGATCTGCAGCCGGCGCTCGGAGATCGTCAGGCCGCGGTGGCCCGTTAAAGGCCGCTGAATCAGCCGGCCCGAGAACGTTACCGGGAGATAGCACAAGCGGATTTCACGGAAGCCATCAACGGTCAACACGGATCAAGAACTACAGTCATCTAACCATGTTCGCAGCACTCAGAAAACAACCCTGCGTTTGGCACTAATTAAAAACAACACGGCACTGTTGACTTTGCCCAAAGCAAGGCGCCCTCACGCAACACATCGACACATCGCGCGGTTATTTTTACACCCAACGAGCCCAATCCAGCCGAAGCGTGCGACCTGTCAGCTGACTTTGGCAGTCGGTCCGGACCAGCGCCGGGAGGGCGGGTGGCGGCAGGTCCACCGGCGCGTTCTCACCCGCTTCCGCTCGTCCTTGAGCTCCTTGGAGACGGCCGTGATGTCGGCGGTGACGCTGGCCGCCAGCTGCTCGGCCACCACCTCGTGCTGGCCGGCCAGGTCGCCCACCTCCGACAACATTTGCCGGTAGGCCGTGTGCGCGCTGAACCTGGCGACAGGTCAGACCGCTGCAGTCGCTGCACGTCGCAAACCCGCGGCCGCATCACAACCTTGTCTTGCCCTTTTTCTTGGCATCATTGCACTTTCAGTTGGATGGCATAGTATTTCAAAAGTGAACCGCAAAAGAACCTGCCGCGACTTTTGACCAAGGTCCGGTTCCCTGACCAAGTGACAGTTTTCAGCAGTGCACGCGATGTGCTCCCCGCCTCCAGCCGGGCGGAGGTTACGGCCAGGTCGGGCCGGAGCGCCGCCCGTTTCCGGGACCGTCCAGTCCTTGGGCAGAGCCCGTCGGCTCGCTCTGCCGGCATGACGCCAATGGGGCGGAGGCAGGCCTGCTGAGATCGCAGACCAAGCATCAGAGCAGCCTCTGTCCAGGTCAAGTCTGGCAATAGCATGCAGTCAAGGAGAAAATTGTCATTCGCAGCTAAATTTTCATGAGACTTAAAACAACGCGTCATTAGCTGTTTCGGTCCTGATACGCGAAATGCGATCGAGCCCAACCCTGGGCGATCGCCGATCGCCGATACCGAACGATTGATGGGCCTAAGTGATTTTTGTTAAAAAAAAACAACGCACACGGCACAAAAGCCAGCTACGCTATGACGCTCCACCTATTAAAGGGATGTTCCACATTTATATGAGGTTTTGAACTGAAATAGCCGTTTTGAAGACCTTTCGGTTTAGTTCACAGCCCAGTCCTTCTTAAGACCTAAACCTCTCTACTTCCTGAGCTACAGGCCCGCGAAAATCGGGAGAGTATTTCGGGACAGTATTTCAAGTTCATCTTGGCATTCATTACGTCATAATAACTTCGCTCAAAACCTGCCATTCTGTAAGCCATGGAGCGATCAAGGCCGAAAAAGATAAAGTGGTCGAGTCGTTCATATTTGGAGTTCGTGAGCACGATTCCAGGACATAACGGCCATCAACTGGCTCTCAATGTTGCGCAAGATACGATGACGTAATCAAGCAATAACCTATTGAGGAACGTACTTACCTAACGGAGAAATTGCGTTGGGTAGGGCAGCCTTTTCACTTAAAAGTATATCATTAAATAAAAGTGAGCTACGTCATCATGTCTCATGCTTGGTTCAATATCTTCAAAGGAGGAGAATTCCCTTTAACCACAAGAACACGACATAACTGAACAAGCCCGTTCAAAGGCTGAACGGACTAATCCAATAGCCGATGGACGATTTTGACCGATTGACATTTTGATTTAAGAGCCCTGCGACGGAAGTGGTCATTTCGCGCTAGGCGCATAGCCGAGCTGCGTACGGTAAGTGCAGCACATCCCCGGGCATGACTGGTGTCACTATTTTTCCCCAGTGAGGCTGTCCCATGATGCAAACATCTTGCGGGTTCACCCCTGGGTTGTGATCGTATCGTTGGTCACGTTAATCACAGCGACGCCCAGTCTACAACTTGGGCGTCGCTGTGATTGTGCGCCTACTTTGACGCGACTTCCAACCCTGGGCCACGATCTATCGCCGTTGGGGATCAGACCCTTCGATAATGATGAGCAACCGATGCCAGCTATCAACAGCGCGACATTCTTCCCCACAATCAGCAAGAATCACGCCTAGTCAACTGATTTTGCAGGGCTTTTAATTTGGATGGCATCTCAAACCTTTCGCTCGCGATCATAGAAATGCTCACTTGGCCATCTCTGCCTGCAACCAGACACCCACCTGACAAAGCAAAAGAATGGACAACACAGGCCATTCATAAGCGGCAATGTCTAAAACAAACCTGGAATGACGACATGGGTAGCGAAATATCGGCCACCTATCATCGGATATAAATCATATCCCCATGGTGATGACAGAGAACCACGCCCAGGCCTGGCCCGCGCAGGGAGCTTTCACCGCGGGCGATGCTGGGCTCCCACTAACTCGATGATCAAAAAGGTTACAGCCTCCATCCCATTTCAAACCCACACGTCACGTGTACCGGCGTCGCCAGGTACAGACACAGCTCCGTTAGGGCCGGACGCCAGGCGTAACCCCACCATGCAGAGGGGCAGCGGAGGCCGCCGCCGCACACGAGGTGGCGGCAGGGCGCCAGCCGGCCGGCCTACTCCCGGTCCATCCGTCATCGCAGCCGCATCCGCGCCAGATCGGCGCCACCGGCCACCGATCCACACGGCGACCGCCGGTCCGGTGGCCGCCACGGCGTTCTGAAGTACGCAACGGGGACGGACAGGAGGGCACACATCTCACCAACCGCATCATGATATCGCTTGCATTTCTCGTTCTTAGACATAGCCAGAAAGGAACGAGGCCCAGCCGTCGCCGCCCCTCGCCCTGTGTTGTTAAGATAACGTAGTGACCTCCGCACAGGGCTTGCTCGCGCGCACACCCACACCCACACGCGCAGATGGCGGCGCTGGCCCGTCAGTGCGGCTCAGCTGATCGCCAGCCGACGGCCTGTCGCCGAGGGGCCGCCGAGGAGCCGCCGCGGGGCGCGACGCACGCGCGGCACCTCGGGTGACCGCAACCACGCTGACAATGGCGCTGTTCGTCACGCCACTTCCCAGCCGGTAATTCGGTGGGCCGGCGGCGGCGGCCGATGTGGGCCGGCCGGCCGGGACGCGTCACACCGTCGCCGGCGCCGGCCGACTGACGCCGGGCGGAACACCGGCCGGGCCGCGCTCGGCGCCGGTGGGCGGCAGCACTGAGGACGCTCGTGCGGCGGGCGTACGTCCCACGCGTCCCGCCGGCGGGAGCGACGCTCGGGAAGCCGGCCCAGCCGCCAGCCCGGGGCCGGGGCCGTGCACACACTATCAACGGAAGTGGCCCAGGCGTACACCGAAGAACGGACCACCGCCGGGCGGCTGGAGACAGCGCCGGAAGCTGGGGCGACGCACCGCTCAGAGCGCGGGGGCGTCACGCCGCGCGGCCACCGAGCTACGACTGACATTCCCGACAATGCTTTGTCGGGGCGGCGAAATCTGCAGAGCCCTCCGCAACGATACCATGTCTCTAAAACTATGCAACTATTCCTGAAAAATCGGCTACAAATCACCCGAAAACTGACTGGTAATGTTCGTCGGAACTCATAGCACACAACGTAAATCTCTTGCAATATTGGGATGCCACTGGCTGCTCTTACTACTCCACGCACTGGTGCCGGCATGCCTATCATAAAACCATTAGTTCGGCTGGTAAAGGCTCATTACAAAAACGCAAACTAATGTCAGCTCACTTGCGAACAGCTGTTCCTAGATGAGGTTTGAGATTGTATCGGTTCATGACAACATATACTCTGGGTCAGTGCTAACTCACGCCACCAAAAGATCTCCAGTTTTCCTGACATAAACCTGAAGCAAAGCATAAACCAAGTCAATGAAGCCATAATAATGACACAACCTGACGGCCAAGGAAGTAATCATTCGGCACTCAAACATCCAGTACAAGCTCCACTGTTCGACGGAAACGGTAACTGATTGACGATAGGACTGATTGACTTCAGGGCGCGTCGGCGGTCGAGGCTATTCTGGGCCCAGCTGGTGGCGCTGGCAGGCGCTACGTTTGCGTTTTTGACGACAATATCGGGAAAATGGCGGGGTTAACAGCGCGATAAATTAGCGGTTACCAAGCACAGTTCGTAGTTCAGCCCTGCAATTCGTAGTCACTGCATGGTTAGCTACAGCTGCCCACTGGGCACCGAGCTGCGAACGGGCTACTTAGTGGCAGACTCAGCGTCTTCGCAATGGAGTCTGCACTAGCAAGGACTTTGATACCAAAGCCAAGCCTGTAAAAACTCGGTCAAACGAAAACAAGACTGTTTGAGAACAGCAGCATCAATGCAAAAGAAAATAAGTGGACGGTAATTCACCGCTGAAAATGCACCTTGTTCAAACCCAGTGCAATGAAGAATTGCCTAAATAAATTAGGCACGTTATGCCTGAATGCCAGGTTCACACATGGCCGATGAAAGCCATGCGCAGAGTACATTCGTGTCGGTTCCATTGCTGTGCAAGGTGTAATTTGCCATATATATAATATATATATATATATATATATATACAAAATATATGTATATATACATAATATATATATATATATATATATATATATATAATCACAGTAACAAAAAAAAACGAAAGGACTGGTGGTCCATAAAAGCCGCTTTAAGACCGCAATACTGTCCTTACAGTTACTCGGTGACTTTCTTGCGTTAGCGTCACAGCCGCGGAAACTCCTGCAGTGACTCAATCCCTGCAACTAATGCACTCCACGTTTTGCCTGCGGGCAGATGCCGCCTCGCCGGCGGCCATCTGCCCGCCACGCCCATCCAGGAGCGAGCGCCGTTTCCGCTCGGTCGGCCTGGCGTAACGCCGACGGAGGTCACGGCGCCGGAGCGGACGGCCCGGCCGCTCAGCAGGCCGGCGCTGTGGGAAGCGCGGGCCGACGGGGCCGCGTGGGGCGTGGCCGCGCGAGCCACGGCCCGGCGCCGGACCCCGCCGCCCGGGCCCGCACCAGTCACAAGCGCGGGAGACCAGCGCCGGGCACCCGGCGAACTCCTCCAGCCGACGCCGCTCCACGGCCTCAGCGCCGCGGCCGCAAGGTCTCGAGATGCTATTGACCGCCGACGGGGCTTGTCAGCGTGCCAGCTCAAACATGGCCCGCCGCCGCGTCACGGCGCCGACAGCAGCGACAGCCGGCCCGTGACACACGGCCGCCTGGTCACCGCTGCGTCAGGTCCGCGTCAGGTCCGCCAGAGCCGACAGTGCGGCTGACGCACCGCGGCCGGCGCGCGGCCGGTGCCCGTTTCACCGCCCGCGAATTTCACGCCGCCGCCTTACCGGCGGCGATTTACGACACGTGTCGCCGGCGGCCACGTCAAGCCGTCAAGTACCGGCCCAACAAAACAGCGCGCTGGCCGACCGGCCTGGCGCCGCGCGGCCGACCAGCTTTCGCCCGGCCGCCGGTTTCTCCCAGTGCGGAGGGCCGCCGGCGTCGACACGGCCGTGCCGCGAGCCGCCGGCAACACACAAACCGGGCCGCCGAGCGCGCCGGCGCGGGACACGCACCGGCGCCGAGCGAAGGCCACTGGTAAAAAGCTGGCCGCGCCCTTCGGCCGCCGCGTGCGCCGGCCCGGCGGGGCTGGCGGGCGCAGCCGACAGCTGGACCGGCGGCGGCGGCGGCGGATGCGCCGGACGCGTGCCGCGAGGGGGAGGAGGGGCCGCAGGCCGGTGACCCGAAATAGCGGCAGCGAGAGCGGCGGCGTCACCGGGCTCCGGCCGCGCCATGTGCGCCCCACCCGGCGCCGCACGTGCCGCGCCGGGAGTCACCGGGCCGTCTTGTGACGCGGGCGAGGCGTCGCCGCGGAGGAGGACGGGGCTCGCGGTGAGCGCGGCGCCGACGACGCACTGGCGTGGGACGCGTCGCGGTGGTGCGGCGGCGTCATTCAGTAGCCAATCAAACAGCTTGTTAGCCAATCTGCCAGCGGAACGGGCAATGCCCCGGCATGGGACAGGAAGGATGCTAAAAGCATGTACTTACTGCATGTCATCGTCATCCTTCTTCTTTGGTTGGTACTTCTTTACAAGGCTTCTGAAAACGAACGTAATTGCGTCAATCTCTCTCAACGGCGCTGAATAACATTTCTTTCAACAGTTCATCCCGCATTTACATAACAAAGCAACCCGGCCGTCAAACAGGCTTGTACGTTTTCGCTGTCAGCACTGTTTGTTTTCACATGTATGCATAAAAGTATCATAACTATCATTCAATACACGTATGACGCCGATCGAACTGCCGGGGCTCAGCCAGACACACAAATTAACACGGCTTGACATTTAAACCACGTTCATGACATTTAAAAACCACGCAAGTTCACTTTCATTTCGAGTCACTGAACGCACCGCCGGTGCCCAGGGGTCACCAGGCCGTTCACGTGCACGGTAACCCCCGTGACCTGACCGAGGCCGGGCGTGAACGGCGCGGCGCGCCAAACACCAGCTCACGTGCCAAAACAGCACCGCAATCTCCCAGCCCGTCAGCCGCGCTCCGAGATGATGCGCGCGATTGCGGCTTCGGCTTTGGCATTATTCGGCCTTGTTGGCAAGCGCGCGGAGCAACCGCGGAGCCAAAGCCGCGGCCGAGCCCAGAGAGCGCATTCACACCCACGGCCTACGTCGAGAACGTGGTGTGCTCGGGCGTAAAGGTGCTTCTTCCCACATTATTATGCACATTTGGATGTTAACTATTCCCCATCACACATCCTCTTGAAATAATTAATGATTTCACACCATAAACACACGTCCGCCAAAATATACACCCAATGAAATATACTCCCACTGAACTATGCACTCATTTGTGTTTACAAGCAGCTTAAGCCCATCCATCCAACTGTTACTACAACAATATGGCATGAAACACTGGCCAAACCTTCGTGCTTACTTCTTTTACAAGACTACAAGAACGCCAGTCTTCGACAGAAAGTCTTCGACAGTCTTCAATAACGGTCCTCGAGACGAAAATCATTGACAGTCCCAAATAGTTTAATTGAGGCTCATTCATACTAAGACATGTATTTGGAGATAATGCGCCCTCTCCTATTTAATGGCGCTAACACGACGGCAGTCACGGACTTTCAGAGTATTAAGTGCTCCCGCAGACACACATACCCGCAGGCGACGCACCAATATCCCTCCATCGCCTACTATGAGCTGCTCAGAACTGACGGCACGGCGTCCCACTAAGTCGTGCCGCGAGACTGACCTCAGGTCGGCGGCGTAGCGGTTCTCGACGTCGGAGCGGTCGCGCACCAGACGGCCGTACTTCTCCAGAAACTCTAGGCTCTTCTGCGTGTGCGACGAGATGTTCTCGAACTGGTCCTGCAACGGAGAGGCCATCCGGCCGTCACGGACGGGCGGCGAAGGACCGCCCGCGGACGTCACCGGCGCGCCCCAGACCCTCTCCGATCACGCCTGGGCGAGCGGCTTGGCGATTTTCCTGACGAGATACGCCGCATGCATCGCCAGGTGTGCAATAAGCCATGACACACATCGACGAATACCATGCAGTGGCATGCGGCCGGCGGCGTCTGACGCGATCCGCACCACACGACCGCGCCGTAACGGCCGCCGACCATGCGGACACACGCACTCATTCGGCACAATTTCCAGCCGGCTCGTGAGCTGTAACTTATTACGCCGCGGTCGCGCCAACTGGACCGAGATAAGCGGTAAACGTGGGAAGTCACCGCACAGGTATTGGGCCCAGCGCGACAGCACCGCCGGCGATAATATTAACGATTGGGGTTTGCGTCACTTCTGGCGATAGCAGGCTGGGTATCATCAATAACAGGCAGGCAGACATAAAGTAAGTTCCAGAAGAGAAAAGTGCGTTCCCACGAAATATGTATGGTATGCAGAGACTGAAAGCCACTGTTAAGGGCACAACATAACTTGCCGCGGCGGCAAGGTGTGTGACACACTTGTCTCGCCCAGGACCGCGAAATATAACTGGAACTCCAAACGCCGCTTTGGGCCATACAAAACCCTTCCCTTCAGGCACCTCTGCGTTTCGAATCCACCCCGCAATCGAGCAATATCTTCCACATAATGTACTGTATTGGAGCCACCGCTCTGCTGGCCTGGCACCGCTATACTGCACCGCGCTACCAGCCTGGCCTCGCTGTACTGCACCGCGCTGCCAGCATGGCCTCGCTATACTGCACCCCGCTGCAGGCCTGGCCTCGCTATACTGCACCGCGCTACCAGCCTGGCCTCGCTATATTGCACCGCGTTACCAGCCTGGCCTCGCTATACTGCACCCCGCTGCCGGCCTGGCCTCGCTATACTGCATCGCGCTACCAGCCTGGTCTCGCTGTACTGCACCGCGCTACCAGCCTGGCCTCGCTATATTGCACCGCGCTACCGGCCTGGCCTCGCTATATTGCACCGCGTTACCGGCCTGGCCTCGCTATACTGCACCGCGTTACCAGCCTGGCCTCGCTATATTGCACCGCGCTACCAGCCTGGTCTCGCTGTACTGCACCGCGCTGCCAGCCTGGTCTCGCTATACTACAGCGCGCTGCCGGCCTGGCCTCGCTGCACGGCACTGCGCTGGCCGGCATGGCCTCGCCGTACGGCACCGCGCTACCGGCCTGACCTCGCTATACTGCACCCCGCTGCAGGCCTGGCCTCGCTATACTGCACCGCGCTGCCGGCCTGGCATCGCTGTACCGCACCAGCTGACTTTGTTGAGAGCACGAGACGACGTGCAGACGATTCGGGAGGGAGGTCTCGCCGACAGCGGGAGCGACGCTCCGTTTTCGGCGCTATGACGAGGTCACGTGACCTGGCGGCGAGCCCCGACCGAGGCGGGAGAGGTCAGAGGGAGCACGGGGAGAGAGTGCAGTCAGAGCCCAGCCTTCGACTCGGTACAGGCTGCCGGGCTGGGACGGACCGCCGGCCGGCGCGCGGCCGATGTGAACGACTTGTGTCTCCGTCGCTCGCCTCGACAATCGCCAACGAGTGCTGTCAATCCTTCTTTCATTCGGCCAGGACTACCGTTAAAATATTCAGTTCAGTGTTCTCGGTGCTACTATCTGAAGACTCTTATTTGCCTTTCTCACGAGGGCCCACTTGTGTACTGTGTAAAAAGACCTCCACGTCAAGTGATACCTACGTGCTGTCGGGGGGACTAGCACAGGCTCACGGACATGACACAACGGTCGCCGGGTCGCAAACACTGCCTGCTGTTTGTTCCTGACCCATGATGCTCAGGTGTCCCTGCTCTTATTCAGGCATGTTATCCCTCATACTGAATGGCCCCTAGGGTCCCAGACTACTGGGATTAAAAGGGACCCTCCACTCAAAGAAGTATGGAGGGTCCCTTTTGCCCCCAGTGGATGGAAAAATACAAAAGATGGACTAATGTACAAGTAGTCTCAGGCACATTCTTGTGATCTACTCCATAGTCTTTGTCAACAACACAGGTAGTGAACAAACAAGGCTTTTTACACAGTGAATCACACATCATGCCAGATAAATACAATTTAACTAGTAAAAAACAGTGTCCTAAATTACTTGGTTGAGTGGCCTTTGTACTGGAGCCTTTGCCTAAAGACCACTTGCTGTATGGGAAACAAAAGACAATCTATGAAAATGCTTGCTTAAAAACAACTTCCGAGGCTTCTTTGTAATGTGACATTGATATCAGAGACTGACTAAGACTGCACAGACAACTATTTTGTTACCTATGCTGTTAATGTCATACTTGCCATTCCTGCCAACACCCTAAATTTGTCCGGTTGGGTGTCCAGGTTAGAGGCATAAATTCATGCTAACCAGAATCCTTGCTCTCTGTCAGCATCCACATGCAATTCATTGATGCTAATCACTTGCCCTTTGACCCCAAAGCCAAACACCTGAAATGCCCAGCCTATTTGTCAAGCCTGAAGCCTTGAATGCTGGGTTGACTGCTGCCATGTTTAATGCAATTGGCCCATAGCAGGCACGGGAACAGGCAATGGGCAGGACATGCCAAGCCAAGGTTGCAATAGCATGACAGAATATTGACACCCCAGACACCTAAGAGGTAGAATATTGAAACACTAACTGCTCCTCATATCAAACCATTCCACTAAACAGGAGCAATAGCTCCCAAAAAGTTGAGGGTCAGGAATGGTTCTTTGCACCACCTGGCTATAGTACAGTTTAAAACAAACAAAACAATCACATTCAGAATCATTTCAAACTACTGATACCATTCAATAAGAGTGATGTGTTGATCACAGCATTAATTGATGGACAAGCTGATTTTCAGCAAATTTTATTGCCAGCAAAGTGGCAATTGGTGCAATGCAACATGGGCATCTACATTTATATCTGCACAGGTTTCTGTAAGGTTTCAGCCCAATAGTCACATGAAGAATTGGTGCAATACAATGCAAAGAGAAAAGTGATAATGACACAATGCCATATCAGGATTTGAGAAAGCAAAGGCAGATTCTATTTATCACACCTCATGCTGCCGCCAAACTTCACCAAAACCATCTTTTGTAGAATTCCACTGGAGGTGTCAAATTCAATAATCCCTGGCCATTTTCTTTGCATCTAAATGCTTAAAGACAAAAATTTTCACTTGACTGAGAAATACATTTGAGACACCAAATAGTAGCAGCTACAAAAACTCCAAAGCATAATTCATGGGTGAACTTGGGTAAAATCCTGAACAATCTTCTTAAGTTGTGCTCCCTGGCCTAAGTGAATACATAGTTCCCTTATCATTTCTCTAATCCTTTACATGCCATTCACCTGAGATCACATGAAAATAACACCAAATAAATGAGAACATAGAACTTTGACTGCTCTTTTATTTTTGTGACCTCAGGACAAACAATTTATACTAACAGGCATTTCAAAAGTACTGGAAGGACATGACACTTTTCTCATCAATATGATACCACAAAACCAAAAGAATGTGTTTACCTGACTCTGCCACATCTCACATTTTCATGAACTCTGGTGCAAGTGCCTGTAGGCACTCACAGGCATTTGGTACTTGACTGGATTTGGCATCTACTCAACCATTTGTGTACTCAAGCACCTTGCACTTGTCAGGGGTCATAAGGGAGCACAGTGTGTCTTAACATTTTCAAATCAATTTTGATGCCACATGCCATAAATTCAGTGCACAGCCATCATCTATTTCAGCTAGCCCAATGCTTCAATCAAATGAGGCATTGTAGTATGCACAAAATATCTTAATTATATATGAAAATATTCTCTTCCTGAAAAAAAATTACTAAACCACCAAGCTAGACATTCTGAGTGGCAGACATCAGCTCATGTATGGGGCCTTTTCAGGAGTGTTGGACCCTTTATGTCTGCATCCTAAACAAAACCTTAACCTGTGCACTGCACACTGTACCTATCTGCAAACCAAGGCAGAGACATGCCACCAAAAAGGACACCACTCACACTGTCACACTGAGTGGACAGCATCCTGCCATACACAGGGCAGTATGCCACTCAATATGAAGTAAACTTTGTTGGCATTAGTTACCCCCAACATGACTGCTTGCCACATATGGCCATATTGTGTGATCTTACTGGTTTTGTGGGCATGCTATGGAGTACATTAGGCCTGCAATGCTCCAATTTAAGAGTTTCAGCCACAGAGTCTGGAAAAGCTGCCCCAAACTGGAAGTTGTATCCACCTCTGCCCCACAAGACCTCACCAAAATCTGCCATGGTTTGCAGCCTGGACACTGTCTATATATAACCAGATGCATGCCAGCTGACTGAGCTCATGCTACTCTGGTCTTGAAAAGTGTTCCATTATTCTTGTTCCATAAGGATGACAACATCTTATAGACCAGGCATCCACAAGGTATTATCTAAAGCTGAAATGTGATGAGGCAAATCAACTTCAACACCTATATATCCTTCCAAGGCATTGAATTGGACCTGTTAGAAATGAATCGTACAGTCAATTCTTGTTAAAAGTGATCATGGTGATTTTTAGAAAGCATCACCTATCTGAAAAACTTAACTTAAGTCACTACCGAGATAATATAACTGATGACTCACCCAGAGCTCGGTACCCCACGCCATGTCCAAGAGATCTGGTTGCACCAGCCGCAACCCTCTGCTGCGTCTCCTCAAGCTGTGCTCACGTTGAGTCACACCATGGTGTTGTAAATCACACTATAGACGCACCAGAAAATTCACTCGAAACCTCTCGCACCAACGGCCGACTCTGCACCCACACGCACTTTCGCATCCACACCCGCCCGCGCTTGCCCGCAGCCCCCCGATTCACCCGACGTGGTTTACGCGCAGACGGCGGAGATACCGACCGTGCTCGTCGCATTCGAACATAAACGCCCCGCACGGTACTGTAGTAGCCATTGCTAATCGCTTTAAATTCCTTAGAAAGTACAAATTTAGTGACGTCAAAAATACTTAGAAGTCGAATGAAATCCAATATATATCATATCTTACGTCATAATATTTGGTGCCAGAAAATCGTTTACTCAACTGGAATACGTGGAAGAAACATTTCTACCAGCGACCTCGCCCTAGAGTTTTCATGCCTGTGTTCGAAAAACGATAGAATGCCTTAAATAAACCTTGTTTTTACCAAAAGCACACATTTTATTTAAAAACTAGCCTTTTTACAAAAAATATCACACATCTTCAAAGAAATCTGTAATTAAATTGAAAATTTTCTTAATTTTTAAACAATATTCATAACCGCGTGACGAACGTGTTACACCTTCATGGTGCCTTCAGCACTGGACAGGTTGGTGGTTATGTGGATGTGTTTTGACATTGGGGGGGCTGGTACTTGAAGAACGCTGCAATGGTTACGTAAGAAGCATTTGTAAACTAATGTGTTGGAAGATTTTTATAGCTTGTGTTGCGGGGAGTAGTTGAGAAATAGGGTTTTGCTGTGCAGTGAGTTGCACGCGCGAGCAGTGAGGCATTGTTGGCGATGTTTAATCTTTGGAATGTTATAGTATTTGTGGGCCCAGGTTCATGCTAAGGAAGCATCTTTTGCAGAAAAGTCCTGTTAGGTGGAGGCACACTTATGTACACCTTACCCTTTACATGCTGAAATGTGACATCCCAGGGCATAGGGAAAATGCTTGAATTAAAAACAATCAAAGGGCAACATGTGCATGGCTTACAAGAGCATGTTAAAACATGGGGGCAGGGGTGAGAGCAGTGATCCCAGAACCCAAAAATGTTAAAGGTCATAAACAACATGACTCAATGTTATAGTCCCCAAACAATTGTTTCCCAAAATGATGCTAAGTGCATTGTGGCAGATGATGTGCCTTTGTCATATGGGTGCACTGGAGGACTGCTGCCAGGGCCCAGTAATGGCTGGTACCTTAGCCCCATCCAGGTTGTAATTGTCAAGAAAATCCAGTGTATGTGCTGACGTCCTGGTTTTTGCTAGGTTCATGGATGATTTCATGCAAATAGAGGTCCAGTGGTCTATTTTTGTTCTGCTCTGTTCAACTAGTAGGAAATGCCAATGACAGTCATGAGACCATGCATGACACAGTACCTTTTTGCAGGAGTCTGTTGGCATGTTGCGGACAGGGCTCTGCCTGCTGCGGGCAGTGCGGCCGCGGCCAGCCAGAGCCACACGCCCCGCCTCCTCTCAGGCACCACTGGCTGGCGTTACGGTGGTGGACATGACGCGCGTGCTGGCCGGTCCCTTCTGCACCATGCTGCTGGCCGACCTGGGCGCTGACGTCATCAAGATCGAGCGGCCCGAGCGCGGCGACGACACGCGCGCCTGGGGCCCGCCCTTCATCGGCGACCAGAGTTGCTACTTCGTCTCCATCAACCGGAGCAAGCGCAGCGTCGCCGTCAACATCGCCACGCCCGAGGGCCAGAACATTGTGCGCCAGCTGGCCAAAAAGGCGGACGTGCTGGTCGAGAATTTCTTGCCCGGCAAGATGGCCGCGCTGGGACTCGACTACGCGCGGCTGCACGCGCTCAACGACACCCTCATCTACTGCTCCATCTCCGGCTACGGCCAGACGGGTCCGTACGCGGCGCGACCCGGCTATGACGTGATCGCCGCCTCGCTGGGCGGCCTGCTGCACATCACTGGCGACGAGGACGGCCCGCCGGCCAAGGTGGGCGTGGCCATGACTGACCTGGCCACGGGCCTGTACGCCCACGGCGCCATCATGGCCGCCCTGCTGCAGCGGTACCGCGACGGCGAGGGCCAGCACGTGCTCTGCGACCTGCTGTCGTCGCAGGTGGCGTGCCTCGCCAACCTGGCCTCCAACTACCTGAACGGCGGCCAGGAGGCGCGCCGGCTCGGCACGGCGCACGAGAGCATCGTGCCGTACCAGATGTTCCGCACGCGCGACTCGCACCTGACGCTCGGCGCCGGCAACAGCGCCCAGTTTACCGACCTCTGCGTCAAGCTGGGCCTGCCGCGGCTGCTCGAGGACGAGCGGTTCGCCTCGAACGAGCTGCGCGTGCGGCACCGGCATGAGCTGGTGCCGGTGCTGGAGGCGCGGCTGGCCGAGTGCACCACCGCTGAGTGGCTGCGCGTGCTGGAGGGCAGCGCCTTCCCCTACGGCCCCGTCAACAACATGGAGCAGGTGTTCAGCGACCCGCAGGTAGGGGGCCGCAACGAGCGGCGCCGGACCGCGTGCTGGGGACGCGCTGCGGTGCTTGGTGTGGGAATCGCACTGCGGTGTGCGTTTTTTTGGCCAAGGACTGGCTTCCTTATCCTTGGCCGGTGGATTTTTAGTGGATTAGTGGATTGATGTGGGTTAGACAAGATAAGGCATAGTGCACGTACAGAATCGCGGACCGCAGAGCGGTATCAATGTCACGCCTCATGTTACGCCTGATATCGACCCAGAGGCGTACGTAAAATTCACAGCGGAGGAGGGAAGAGCAGTGGTCATAACTCAGCATGTTTGTATAAGAAATTCATTTTAGCGCGCTACAGAGTTGCGAAGCGTCTGTTGTGGCGCATAACGATTACGTCGCAAGTTTTCAATCTGCTCATCATTTTTATTTTTTCAATCTACATCGACTACATGCGGATTCACCCTCACATCTTGTAGTGACTTATCCACTTATATCATTTTCTCTAGTATAGTTTTACTCTAAATCACCTCCAGAAAAAAACGTTCGTCGATTTCGTAAAGTATGCTAGTTTTCATTACTAAGACAAGCTGGAGAGAGCATTTGTTTTCGAGCGCAGTCGCCGAGCTAGCATGAAATATCGGGCTAGAGGGTGCTAATGGATGAAATGGTCGTTTTGGGGGTGCTGCCAGGCTATTTAAAGTAGATTGCTGTACTGCTCGTTGGTTGTGTTTCCCAGTGTTCGACATCCGATTCTTGGTTTCCGTCATTTAGATTAGTTCTTCTATCGAGTCTTAAGATCATGTGACCGTCAGCTTTTTATTGCTGTAGGCACCCTGACGAGCCTTATGCGTCGGTGGATTAAAAAAAATTGCTTTCTGCATCTCGACATCAGCAATGAAACCATCCGGAAGACTTTCAGGTTTGTTGTTTCGTGGTATGAAATTCGTAGCTGATTGTTTTGAGGTACAGCTCATTGTTTTGAGATAATATCCAAGTTTGTTGTGGTGAGGTTTAGGAATTTTTTTGTGGTTCCTCATACCAGTTTGGAAACAACATGGAAACAACAACAAATGCAATAACGGCAAAATACAAGCTGTCCTGGCCCCGGCAATCCAGCAGCAGTATCTGGCCTTGGTAACGGTCCGTTGTAAGAAAGCAACGGCCGTCGTGCTTGTATGTCGCTACTCCCAATGTTCGATGTTCGGATCGCCGCGTTAAAAGCCGAAGTGCTTGCACGCGCTGCAAAAATCTGCTCGGTAAAATTGCTCGTCGTGCACCGGAGGCTTCGGATCGCAGCGCGATAAAATCTTGACACGACTGCCGCGCTGCATGACGTACATCACATGTGTCTCGTGCGCCCGAAGAGCAAAACGAGGGTTAAGACTGACCGGTACAATGCAGCACTAAGATGGAACAGATAGGGTGAAAGCGCACGGACTAAGAGAATATACCACAACCGTTCATGCATGCAGATCAAAACGGTGCTTGGTGGCGCCCAATCGCTTGAAGGAGAGATTCCCATTTCGGCACGTCTTTTCAAAATGTTGCGGGACCGTTTTCACCAGGTGCGTGCTTGGGCCTGGCGCCGACCGTCGCTTGCCGCCTCCACTCGTGTTACCCCTGATCCGGTACCAAGGGTACTGGTACTCGGTACCCTTCTCTGCCGTCTCACCCCTCCCCTGCTGGGCTTCCGTGCGGTTCCCGGCTGCCCAACGCTTTACCCTCGATGCCCTGCCGCAGGTGCTGCACAACGGCCTGGTGGAGGAGGTGGACCACCCGACGGCCGGCCGTCTGCGCGTAGTGGCGCCGCCCGTGAGCTACAGCAAGGCTGAGAACCGCGTGCGCGCGCCACCACCGCTGCTCGGCCAGCACACGGACGAGGTGCTGCGCCAGTTCATGGCGCTCGACGACCACCGGCTGGCCGAACTGCGCCAGCGCGGCGTCATCCAGTGACACCCGTCGCGGTCGGCGGGGGCTGCGGACGGCAGACGGGGCATGGCGAGTTGGGCGATCACTGATGGCGGCGGGTCGGGCTCGGCGAGGACTTTCAGTAACCGCTGTCCTCGCGTGCTGACGCCTCAGAGTGGACATCCAGTGGCTTCTAACGGTAGCCATTGGATGCTGCTGCGGGTAGTGACTGTTGGCGGTAGATGCCAGATAGTGGCTGCTGCATTCGTCAGTATATCCTGACAGTGGGTAGTGCCTACTGACAGTAAACAGTGACTCTTGACAATGAGAAATGACTGGTGAAGGTGGGCATCGACTGGGCGTGAGTGGGAAACGGAGCGATGCTGCCTGGTGGGACGGTGGCTCCATCTTTTCGAGCAAGACAGCCGCCACCCCAGAGACTGCGAGTACAGCGGGGTACCCTCTTGCTCACCTTGTTGGTCGGACCAGGATTGTAAGATGCAAAACATTGACTGATGTCGCGTTAGAGGGGACGAGTGATTAACCCTCGCCTCGATTCGCCGATTTTCATAACGCGAACTGATGGGGTGAGGAGGGAAGTCGATGCGACCCCCTGTCATTTCCAAACTAATGAAGATCTCACGACTGGTACTCATTTTTGTGTAAGTCAATAATTGACACCATTATGTCAAGTCAAGAGCAGCTATTCGTTGAAAGCGCGTTTTTAAGATTTGCATAATTAATACGAGACTATGCCTCGTGACAATACATAGCATAAACAGACGTGTCCCTTGTTTGATT